CCACAGCCTGGGAAGGTCTTAGGGAGTGCACAGACGGAGTGACTTAAGAGGCTTGACTACAGGGGAAGTGCCTCTTTAAAAAAAAAAAAAAAAAATCTGTTTGCCTGCACCTCTGTTTCTGCACCACATTTGTGTGGTACCTACGGAGGCCAAGAGAGGGCACTGGATTCCAGATGGTTTTGAGTCGCCATGTGGCCCTGGAAATAGAACAAGGGTCCTTTACGGGAGCAGCCAGAGCCCTTAACCACCAAGTCATTTCTCCAGACTGCCCCCTCTGCCTCTCTCTGGTGGGGCTGCGGATGGTTACCCCTCAAGAGTGCTACTGCTGCCAACATGTGACCACTGCCGTGATGCTGAGTGCTGCTGGCCAAACGGCAGGCCTTTATGTTTCTAAAATAACCGAATGGCTTCTGCCTTTGCACCTTCTCAGTAAGCGAAGAGGTAAGAATTGCCTCTGTCTAGTGGGGCTTGTGAGATGCCAGACCCCTGAGGTTGTTTAGAAACACTGGGCCGGGGAGATGGCTCAGCGTGTTAATGTGCCTCCCACGCAAGCCTGGCAACCTGGCTTCAGCTCCCAGACCACACATAAAGAGGGGGGAGAAGCAACTTGACAAGGCCATCTCCCCATCTGCACACACTCGCCATGGCCTGCGCACCCCTCCCCGCACCACGCATACACAGTAAACAAGACTTTACCGAATTTGGAGCCAGGTGTGGCGGCTTCTGCCCGTTATACCAGCACTGGAAAGGAAGAGCCAGGAGGATGCCCAGCCTGCCTCAACTGGCCAGATAGCCTAGCCAAATCTGTGGGTTCCAGGTTCAGTAAGAGGCCCTGGATTACAAAATAAAGTAGCTCGGAGGTTAAGAGCACTGGCTGCTCTTCCACGTGACCCAGGCTTGACTCCCAGCACCCACAAGGATATTAGCATCTGTGATTGGGCCCAGGGGCTCTGATAACCTCTTCTGGCTTCCACAGGCACCAAGCACAAATAGGGTATGTGGTACGCAGGTACGCACACAGGCAAAACAACCACACACAGCGATAAAAATTGAAACAGTAAATAAAACTAAAACTAGGTGGAAAGTAATTGAGGAAGACACCAGACATTGCCCACATATAAGAGCACAGGCAGGCATGCAGAGGGACGCGTGTCCCCTCCACACCCAGAAGGTTCCCTCCCCACCCATGTATATATATATATTTAAGGTAAATCAAAAGTTGACTGGTAGTGGTGCGTTCGAGGCCAGCCTGGTCTACAGAGTGAGTTCTAGGACAGCCAGGGCTACTCAGAGAAACCCTGTCATAAAAAACAAATGGCTAGGCATGGTAGCACACACCTATAACCCCGGCACTCTGGGAGGCAGAGGCCAGCCTGGTCTACAAAATGAGTCCAGGACAGCAAAGGCTACACAGAGAAAACCTGTCTCAAAATGAAACAAAAAAAGAAAAACCAAAAATTTCTTAAAAACCTAAAAGAAAATTAAAGAAACATGGCAGGGGGTTGTGGTAGAATGTGTGCCTAGCCCACTCAAAGACCTGAGCTCCGCTCCCCTGTGAAACAAGCAGTAGAAACAGGTCAGTGGCTTGTCGGTACCTGGCACTGCAGCTGTTCCTAGCTTCCGGCCCAGCACGCACGCTATCACTCTTGCTATGTGCAGCCTGGTTCATCTTAACATTTGAAAGATCACTACAGTTTTAAGGGAGGGAGAGCACATGCCCACGTGCACATGGGGAAATCAGAAAAACTTGCAGGGGTCCGCTCTCTCCTTTTGCCACGTGGCTCCCAGGAGGGATGGAATCCGACTGTCAGGCTTTGCAGCAGAGCACCTTTTCCCACGGAGCCTCTCTCTGGCCCCAGAGCCTAAATTTTGAGTATCACTGTGCTCTGTCTGCCCCTGAACTTAGTGGTGCCGGGGAGAGCACGCTGTAGTCAACCAGATGGAGGCAGGAGTCCTGGGGATGGTCTGGAAAGTTCTCCAAGGCAATGAAACCCTTTGCCCTTTTCTCCTGATGTGAAATGTACAGAAACAAGGATGTGGGATAAATTTCTAAATCCTCAAGGGCAGCCCTGAGCCTTTCTTGCAGCCACAAAATACTGAATCTGGACTTTCTACTGCCTAGAAAAATGGTTCTGTGCGAGAAATTCTGTCCTTTAAAAAGCTCATCTGCTCCTTTTTTAAAAATAATTTATTACATTTTATTTCCTGTGTATTGGTGTTCTGCCTGAATGTATGTCTTTGTGAGGTGTCAGATCCTCTGGAGCTGGAGTCACAGTTTTGAGCTGCCGTGTGGGTGTTGGAAATTGAGCCTGGGCCCTCAGGGAGAGCAGAAATGGCTCTTACTGGCTGAGCCATCTCCCCATTCCCCCCTCTTGTTTTTTGAGGTGAGGTTTCACGTAGCAAGGCTGTCTCTGACTTTGTTTGTTAATGGAGTCAAGAACCGTGAACTCTGGGTCCTCCTGCCTCTACCTCCTGAGTGATGGGCTTACAGTATGTGCCACCATGCCTGGTTTATGAAGTGCTGGGAGCAGCCCAGGGCTCTGTGCAGGCCAGACCCTCTCGTAAGTGAGCTGTATCTCCAGTGCTCATTTATTTCTGACATAAGGCTATGGCACAGACACCACGAACACAAACCTGACACTGAGAAAACAGAACCTTGAAGAAACGGAAAGGGCACACGATTATACGGCTGGAGCTGAGATTCATTCCAGGTCAACCTGCAGTCTTCATTTCTGTCCTTCTCCCCAAACAAAAGGAGATGTTCAAGGTAAACATTCAGGACCAGCAGGGCGCATCAACTGAACACGGGTCAATAGACTAAATCCTGCCAAGTGCCAGTGAGGGATACAATACAGCCCGAACCCAAGAAACTTCTGTTTTAGTAGAAAGAAAAGAATCAAGTACATATTTAGGTCAAGGGGCGTAAGTACTGTTGAGCAGCTTAAGGGAGTGAGAATATGCTGTTTCTTAGAGGAAGCCAGAGTCTTTGAGGTGACCTGGCCACTAACAGAGGGGGAAGTAACGGTGTGAGGCAGATGTGGCGCAGAACAGCAGAGGCCCTGAGGCAGGACATGCGTGGCAAATGAGCATGACTGGAGGGAATGTGACTGGAGGCAAGGGCCACACTGGGTGTCAGGAGGGAGAGGTATTTTTAACGTGGTACGGAACCAGCTTTAGCCGGGCACTGGTGGCACACGCCTTTAATCCCAGCATTAGGGAGAAACCCTGTTCTGACAAACTAAAATTGGTGGCTTTTATTCAGTGAAACAGGAAGTCATAGGAAGGTTTTGATCACGAAATAGACCCAATATATTATTATTGTTGTTATTGGTTTTTCAAGACAGGGTTTCTCTGTGTAGCCTTGGCTGTCCTGGTTTCACTTTCTAGAACAGGCTGGCCTCGAACTCAACTCAGAGATCTACCTGTCTTTGCCTCCCTTAGTGCTGGGATTACAGGTGTGCACCACTGTGTCCAGCAATAGATCCAATGTATAACCTGGCTGACTTACAGGCCAATGAGGGAATAGCGGGAAGATGTGGAAGAGATGAGACAAGGAGCCCTGTGGGGAGTGGAGAAAGCCTGAATGTGTGAAGTTCTTGACTGATGTGATGCTGACATGAGCTGGCTGAGCCAAGAACCCCTACCTAGCCTCAGACCCATGGGAGAGAATGCGCACAAGCCCCATCCACATCCAAGGTGAGGCTGAGGGATGGCAAAGCTTCCTCTGGTCCACGTGTGAGTGCAGATGTCCACCATGGCCTTCTCCTCTGGGGCATTTACAGCCTCCAGACTGCTCCCTGATAGAGCCTGCTCCTACTGAGGTTGGCTAAAGCTGCTTCCTTGTTCAGCTGTACGCAGTACCCCACCGCTCTGTTCAACTGTAACAAACGTGCTGCGCTCGTAGAGTGCTGTGGCCCTGAGAGTGAGGGGGAGGGAACCCCCAGGAGGCAACAGGAGAAACCGTTATTTGTGAGGGGTGGGAGTGGGTATGCTCGGCTTTGGACGGTTAAGCTCTGGTCCTTGGGGAGTGGGCACGGAACAATTTTTTCATCTTCTAGGACGCCAGCTCTCCATTCTATTCCACAGGTCACTTCCTCAGTCTCCTTCGTCCCCTCACCTCTAAACAACAAACGAAGTATCCAGAGGTGTCAAGAAGCTAGCCAGTCAGGTGTAGTCAACAGTATTTTTAAGAAAAATGAAAGCCTGGCACAGTGGTGTAGCTCTATGACCTCAGCACCTGAAAGAGGAAAGCAGGTATCAGGAGTTCAAGGCCAGAAGGATGACAAGGGAAGGGGACAGGAAAGGAGGGCAACGGAGGGAGAAAGAGGAAATAGAGTCAGGAGTTCATGCCCTATGCAAGTGACTGGTGTAGTAAGACAAGAGCAGAAACTAAGTTTGTTGGCAGTTTTTGTTTTGTAGTTTTCTTCCTCAGACAGTGTTCTGCTGTTCTAGGCTGGCTTCAAACTCAAAATCCTCCTGCCTCAGCCTCCAGAATGCTGAGATTAGGGCCATGTGCTACCAACTCTAATTCTTAGGTCCCACCTAAGAAGGTGGCATCATGCTAGGAACAAACCTTTAACACATGGACCTTTGAAAGGCAGTCAATATCCAAAGTATAGCACCAAGAATTTTGGCAAATACCAAGGTTATGGAAGAGACAAAGGGAAAGTGGAGCCGGATTACTCTTTAGGACAGAACGTAAGGAGCACTTACTTTCTGGACTCACTATGGAAAAAGCCCTCAGAACAGACATGAACAAGATCCCTTTTCTTTTCCACATCAAAGCTGCTAAGCATATGCTGCAACGAGATGAATTCACTCCTAGACAGAGCCCTGCCTGGGAGTGGGAGGACGGAGAGCAGAGGAGAAGGCACCATTCTTAGAGAATGAAACGCCGCAAAATTTTCTGCATCTAGGAAGACGAGCATGTGTGTCACCCTCGCACTCTTCCCCGACAGGACTTCCAGCACATTCCAGACAAAGCTTCACAAGGCACAACATAACAAATATTAGGATAGTTTTTAATTTAAAAAAGAAAAAGCCCCAAAGTCTCTGGGAAACACGCTAAGATACAGTAAAAACTTCCACGCGTGCTAGAAACACTGCGGTGGCCTGCAGCACAGACTCTCCACAGGTTTCCGTGTAACTTTACACTGTGCTCTTGCTTTTTCAAGTCCTTACCGAGGCAGGTAGGTGGCGCACACCTCTGATCCCAGCACATGGGAGGCAGAGGTGGGCAGAGCTGAGTTTCAGGCCAGTCTGGTCTACATAGTGAGTTTCAGGACAGCTAGAGCTACAACAGTGAGACCCTGTCTGGGGGTGGGGGGTGGGGGGGGGAAGTCCTCACTGAGAGGACACTGAGGCACAAAGTTAAGAACCGGCATGAGGTTAGACTGTAAGAGACACACACAAAGGGACCAGAAATCTGTCCCTCCTGAAATGCTGCCAAAAGGTCATTTAGTAGTACCAAAGTTGTAGTCTTTATCCCAGGAAATAGTGGCAAGGGCCCAGGCTAGACTTGATGCCTGTGACCTGGCACACAGGAGTCCCTGAGGTGCACGCACCAACATCCCTGAGCCTCTGACGTGTCTCCTTCCTCTCAAGCCCAACCCTCCTTGTGGAACACCAGCTGCACAGCTTCATTCACATCACGGACGATGTGGGACGCCTCTAGGAGCTCTGGACTGAAGCTGTAGTCACGGTGCCCATGGAATGGAAGGTCTGTCGGTCCAGGGTTAGGCACTTGGGAGCCTGGGTCCTGACAATTGTATATGCCAGTGCATACCAGGATGGAGGCACAGCTCTGGGCTGCTGAAGGCCGCTGCTTCAGCTGTCCACCAGTCCCTTGTTCCTCCTCTCCATGCTTTTCCATTTGCAGGTACTGGTGGTACAGGTTAGCACCGTAGACATCAGACATAGGGTTATCTCTGGCAGGGCAGCAATACCGGAAAGCAAAGAGGAGAAAACCCAAGTTTAATGTTGCAGAGCCAGCAGAGAGAGATCAGCCTGGGGCGGTGTGACTCAGCAGCGGGGAAGTGGGTGGTGTGGGCAGATGAGAAGCAGCAGCAGAGATGGAGATGGAGATGGAGTGGGCTTACCCTATAGCATAGAGATTCCTGATGGGGGCGGCCCAGCCCCGCTTCTCAGCCTGCTGCCTGATCATGTCCTCTGCATACTTGTAAGTGAGGATGCTGGGTTTGCCCATCAGGCCCTCGTATTTCAGCTCCTTGCCTGTCACTTTCCGGTAGATGGCTTCCAGGCATAGCAGAAAGGTGCCATGGCCAAACCTGCCCAAGAAGAGAGCTTAGCAATGCAGCCTCAGGCCACCCGCCATCCTCTAAGCTATCTTCAAGCACCCAACCTGCACTCTCTTCCCTGCAGTTATTTCCCAGGAGGAAACTGAGGCAAGAACAGGCAATTTCCCCTGGGTAGTAAAACTAGGGTGAAAACCTGATAGCCTCACTCCCAAAACTCAGTTTTCATTTTTTTTTTAATTAAATATACACATGGGCCACACTGAGCCTGTGGAGGTCAGGGAACAACTTTATGGAGTCAATTCTCTCATCCCACCTTTATATGGATCCCCAGCATCAAAGTCGGGCTTGGTAGGCGGCATTCACACTATCTCACCTGGCCCCTACACCCTAAGACGGGGTGCTGTTCTAAATTGCTGGCTGCCGGAGAATGCTCACTGCCTCCCTTGCAGCTAAGTGTCGTCACTCTTCTATACACCACATGAGTAAGCTCCACGGAATAGTCAACCAAAGCTGAAGTGCTGGACTAGCTGTGACTCGACGCCCTGAAAACAATGGACACCTCGCTATGGTCTGGATCTTACATGGTCCCCAAAGCCCAAGCCTTAGTCCCCAGCTGATGACACCTTGGGAGGAGGTGGACTCCTGAGCCAGGGGAGCCTGACAGGAAACAAGTCCCTGAAGGCGCACACCCTCCTGTCCCTCTACCTTGCTGTTTCCCAGCTCTCACAAGGGGAGCGGCTTTGTTCCATAATGTGCTTCTCATTGCAATCCTTTGTTACTCAGGTGCTTAGTGTTGCAAGCTAACAACCCTACACTATGCTTCCTGCCATCTGAAATGCTAATATGGCTGACACCTAGGCACCTGTTCTGGAGGGTATGGTAAGGACTGTGCTGCAGAAAGGTGAGTGTGTCCTTAATAAAGGAGAGCCTGAACAGAGGCCCAGACTGCTAACCTTTTTTTTTAAGATTTATTATGTATACAATGTTTTGTCTGCATGTACAGCTGAACACCAACAGAGGGCACCAGATTTCATTATAGATGGTTGTGAGCCATGTGGTTGCTGGGAATTGAACTCTGAACCTCTGGAAGAGCAGCCAGTGCTCTTAACCTCTGAGCCATCTCTCCAGCCCCCGGCTAACCTTCTTTCAATGAGAAAGCAATACACTATGTCCTGTGAAGTGTGTGTCTTCTACCTTCGGTGCTAAGCCAAGCAGACAGATCTCTGCAATTTCAAGTCTAGCCTGGCTTATACAGGGAACCCCAGGCCAACTGTTAGAAGATGGTTAAAACATTGACCCATGGCGAACAATGCCTTGGGTCAATGGCATTGGAGTCTCTTCCTATGAGAGAAGCTCCGGGGAAAAAAGGCAGAGGGCCTTTGTTCCCTGGATTGTTCTTGGATGTGATTTCATGCCTTCTGTGACAAATTTTTACAGTCAATTTATAAGACATGTTCAGAGTGTGCCCTGAACTGGACATGGCCTTCTGCCTTGCTTTTGTACCTCCCCAGATATTACCTTTAATACATACCAGACAACTGTGTTAAGTTGTCTGCCCTGAGAAAGCTCTGGGAAAGGACTGCTCTTACTGGCATTTACTGACATGTTTTTCTGAACTCAAACAGCCTTCCTCGGATCACTGCTTTCGTGTATGAAGCACACTGACTGAAGTAAGGCTCTCTACAGCATTAGACTGTGGTCTGCCCCACCCTTTCAGGTCCTCAGACCCCAGGTCGCCCAGACAGGCATCAGCTTAGCTGGTGAGAACCAATACCAACCAAGCAAGGCTGAACAGTGAGACCTGTCTCAAACGAAATAAAGCAAAAGAATTCCATTTTCTTTGTTTCTTTTCATGTTGTGAATCAGGACTTTGCTGTATCCCAGACTGCTCTGGAACTAGGTATGAAGCCCAGGTTGGTGTTAAACTTGTGGTTCTCCCGCCTCAGTCTTTTCAGTGCCAGAATTGGTGCTACATACTACCACACCCAGCCAACTTTGAGCCAGACAAGTGTGGAGGAAAAATCTCAAATATGCCTTCTTTGAATAAAAAACTCAGCTGAGGAACTGGAGAGATGGCTCAGAGAGTAAGAACACTGGCTGTTCTTCTAAAGGTCCTGAGTTCAAGTCCCAGCAACCACATGGTGGCTCACAGCCATCTATAATGAGATCTGGTGCCCTCTTCTGGTGCACAGGCACACATGTAGGCAGAACACTGTATACATAATAAATAAATCTTAAAAAAACAAAAATAAAACTAATAAAAACACTCAGCTGGGCATGGTGGTGCACACCTGTAATCCTAGCACTTGTGGAGGCAAAGGCGCATGGATTCCTGTGAGTTTGAGGCCAGCCTAGTCTACAAAGAGATTTCAGGACAGAGAAACCCTGTCTCAAAAACAAAAACGAATGTAAAAAATCATCTTAATCTGGTCTTCTGAACTGTTTCCCCCCTTGCTTTTCAACTCACAGCTATCCTAACTTCTACCTGATTCCCATTTAGAATCAACATACCCTAACTGCAATGGTTTGACTAGGAAACGGCCCCCATAGACTCATGTGTGTGTGAACCCTGGTCAGAGGGAGTGGCATGTTAGGAGGCATGGCCTTGTTGGAGGAAGTGTGTCACTGTGGGGGTGGGGCTTTGAGGTCACCTATGCTCATGCTCCACCCAGTGTGGCACAGTCTCCTGCTGCCTGTGGATCCAGATGTGGAACTCTCAGGTCCTCTTCCAGCACCAAGTCTGTCTGCACACTGCCATGCTTCCCACCATGATGATAATGGACTAGACCTCTGAACTGTAAACCAGACCTAATCAAATGTTTTCCTTTATAAGAGCTGTTAATGGTCATGGTGTCTTTTCACAGTAATAAAAGACAAACCAATACACTAACTCAGAAAATATCAAATCTAATCTAAAGATACAGAATACACTTTATTAAATGTGACAGGGGCCAGGGGGAAACTGGAGCAGAAAGGTTGAAGTCAATTTGAGCTATACAGTGTGGTGTGAGCCTGGCTCACAGAAAGAGAGTCACAGGAAGCCCTGCCTCTTGTCTAGACTACCCTCTGCTGACTGCACACAGCCTCTGGGAGCCCACAGAAGGGTGAAAAGACACTCTATTCTGTCATCAGCTGGCTTCACAGCCATGCGTCCTGAGAGCCAGAAAAGAGGCACCTATCAACCCAGAAGAGGGCTTGACACAGGTGCTACACGGCTGATCTCAATTCTCGGCTCTACACCATGGGAATAATCCTGGTTTATAATCTCGGTTTTCTCCATCCCTAGGGCTCACATATGAAGGCAAACATAGACGTGAAAGAACCAGCATCTGAGGAAGAATCCTGAGTGTACAGCACTGACATAACTGAGAACTACCTGTTTGCCGGTGTGTCCTGAGACCAGCGGGGTGGGGCGCACACTACAAATCGCTCAGCACGTCTTCGTGCTCAGGACTCTGTAGCTTTAGTAACTGACATGAAGTAACTCCCGAAAGCCTTCACTCTCAGGTCGGGCTATGGTGGCACCTAAAGGGCTCATGAGATAAAAGGGACACTATGTGCTCACCTGGGCATCTTAGATTCAGCCATCCACAAGAGATCCATGTTGCTAGCCAGGACAGGGAGGTGAGGATATGGAGGAGCTGTTGCCAGGCCATTCTCAGGGTTTCCATTGCTAAGAAGGACATCCATAATCAGCTGCAGGCTTGTCTCCCAGCGGACTGGCTCCCCAAGAAGGAGAATCCCTGCAAATCAAAGGCACAGGGAAGAGGGAGTAGGGCACTTGGCTTGCCCTTTGTGGTGGGTAGGTGGGAGGCCCATCAGAGACAACAGAGCCCAGTTGTCTACCTACCCAGAGCTAGAGGTCCTTTATTAAGGTGTCCATCTGAGCACCCCTGCATGCCCCGTCCCAGTACACCCTGGATGAGCAGAGCCCGGGGCCCAACAAGGAGCAAAATAAGGGTGTCCTTTGAGTCCCTGACTGTTTAATAGATGCAGCAGATCTCATGCTGCTCTTGATGGGACCCTGCCCACCACACCCCAGCACAGCCCACAAGCACTACTCCTCTCTACAGGTGGCTGGCCCGCCCGCCCGCCCTCCCATCTCCGAAACTGATGGCCAAGCATAAGAACTTGAAATGGGAAGGCCCTGAGCTCTAACCCTAAGTCAGCCGAGCTTTCTGTAAAACTGTGGTTTATTCACTGCTAAACTTCAACTACATCTGAAAAAGAGGCATGGGCTCTGAAAGTATGGCTCAGTAATCAAATGCCAGCCCAGCATGAAGGAGGCCCTAAGTCCCAACCCTTGCAATACAAAGTAGATAAGTGAAAAGGCTAAGGCCTGGGACAATGGCATACACCTGTGTGATCGCGCTGTCACACAGCAAGGTGGAGACAGATGATAAACAGCTCAAATTCACCCCAGCTACTGATCTGGCCACAAACCAGAGGCCAGTGGTTACTATATGAGATCTTTTCTCCAAAAAAGTCCACGTATCAAGACGGGCATCTTGGTTTACAATTGTAATTCCAGCATTTAGAATGTTGAAACAGAAGGACAGGCTGTGAAATAGAGTTCACAGCCAGTCTAGACTATAAAATGAGACCCCTGTCTCAAAACAAAATAAAGTAAGGCGCTGGAAAAATAACTCAGTGGTTGAAAACACTTGCTGTTCTGAGTTTAATGCCTAGCACCCATGGCTGATATAACTCCAGCTCCAAGGATTCAGCACCCTCTTTTGGCCTCCACAGGCACCTGGATACATATGGCATATACACAGACACATGTACATAAATAAAAGCACGAGGCAGGCACACCCCTTTAATCCTGGCACTCAGGAGACAGATGGAGGTGGCTCTCTCTGAGTCTGAGGCGAGTCTGGTCTACACAGTGAATTCTAGGACAGCCAGGGCAATGTGGAGAGGCCCTGTATCAAACAAGTCTCTGACAGGGTGCCAGCTGCTCTGGATTGGAATTACAGACAGCTATGAGATGCCATGTGGGTGCTGGGAATTGAACGGGGGTCCTCTGAAACAGCAGCCAGTGCTCTTAACCACTGAGCCATCTCTCCAGCCCTGGAGGACATATTTTTATTGTCACAATTGAATAGTTAGCAGGTGGGAAACCTCACATAGGCAAAAATTGTCCTCTCCTAGCAGTGTATGAGGACCCTCCCAATCAATTCACTAGTGGCAGTTCTACCCGCAACCCTGTGTCTTTTGCTGGAACATCCCTGGTCACTCTGTTTATAACAATCACTTTCCGTCTCAGATAATTAGAACATACTGAGACATATTAGCATCTTCTCACGGAGACATTCATTTCCCTCTCTGGTACGGGGAGGGCATTACACTGCACTCATTACTTTGTTTGGTTCTAAGATAAAAGAGTCTCACTGTGAAGCCCAGAATTAGCCTTCAACTCAAATACTTTCATTTCAACCCCCTAAGTGGGAAGCTACAAATAGGCACCACCGCAACTGGCCCCTGAGTACTTTCTGATATGGGTCATGGGAAAGTAATTTAACTTCAGGATGGCAACAAGATGATACAGTATCTTTATTGTCCGAGGGAGACCTAAGCAATACTGGACTAGACCTATCTACTCTTAAGAGCTGCTGAGCTTGCAATTCTTTAACACAATCAGATAAGCACTTAGGAGGAGAAATCACCAATACATGTCTCAGAGTGGACAGCCAGGGCCAGAACCCAGGCGACCCAGGTCCTGCTGTGCAGTGTCATCTTCAACACTATCTGCAGAAGAGTCTGACAGGAGAGAGGGGAAAGGAAGAACCCACGCCTACCCAGGCTCAGGGCCTCTTTTACCTTCAATGGCAGGGAAGTCACTCCTCCGGGGCTGCCAAAAGACAAAGAAGAGGCCCATCAATGCTAGTAGTCACTTCCACTCCTGGAATATCCAGTCTCCAGGGCTGAGTAGCAGGAAGCACACAGGTCAGACACCATCCCCAAGGACCAGCCCACAGCAAGTAGAGAAAATTTAGGAAGAAGATGGACAGGGGAAAGACGAGGCCCAGACTGGGCTCAACACAGGCTGAGGGATGCCACGTGGCAAGCTGGCCAGGAGGGGCAGTGGTCAGTGGTGCTTCTCTAGCCAGGAGGGAAAACAAGGTCCTGGCTAAGCAGGAGCCTCTAGAATGAGGGTGCTAAAGGAGAAAGCAGCCTGTGAGAGATCTCTGGGCACAAGGACTCTCATCTTCATGCCAGTTCTAGAGGTTTTTCTCTTTACCGGCCTCGGGTCCACTCTTCCCTGGGCCACTGCAGTCTTGGCTGAGGTGAGTCACCTCTCCTGTGCCACGCTCAGCCTTGGAGCTATTCTGAGATGTGTTCCCACTCTATATTCCAGTTCTCCTCAGAATTTTAGTGACTCAAGACAAAGCTCTCAAAGAACAGGATCTTCTAATAGGAACTTATTTTCTACTAAATAAATTAAGCTTATCTGTTTATAACTGCATCTCATCATATTCTAAATTAACATGAGCTATTATATATATACACATATAGGTAGATATCAATTTTCATGAGGAATGGACCAAGGGACACCTTAGGAGGTAGGCAGTAATATGCCAAAGGATCACTGAGTGGCCTGGAACTTACTATCCCAAGAAATAAGAAACCATGGGCTGGGATGTCACTTAGTGCAGAAACTTCCCAAGCACGCACAAGCCTGGGTGTGACCCCCAGAACTACAAAAATAAAATAAAATAATATCAAGCCGCTTTTTGAAATCTTAGCAAACACCAAGGGCAGTGTGGATGGACTCATCAGGGTTTCTCTCCTCACAAGGCAGGCTCTCTGGACTCTGCTTTAGGATAAAGCAGCAGCAGGGAGTAACTTAAAGGGCTAATGGTTCCCCCGAGAAAACCTGGGAAGGCCACCAGTAAGAACACTGTTAACCAGGGCTGGAGAGATGGCTCAGAGGTTAAGAGCGCTGGCTGTTCTCCCAGAGGTCCTGAATTCAATTCCCAGCAACCATATGGTGGCGCACAACCATCTATAGTGAGATCTGGTGCCCAAGCACACATCCAGGTAGAATGCATGTATAAATAAATATAAACATATAAACATACATATATACACACATACATACATCTATTAAAAAACAAACGAACTGCTGTTACCTGAATTAAATACCAAGACTCCAAATGGAGTCCCTAGGGGGCTGCTCCTCCTCAGCCTCTCTCATCCTCCACCAGCCACACCTCTCCGAGACCAGCCTTCTCCGAGACCAGTCCAGAAGCACCCAGAAAACAAAATGCAGCTCCAAGCAGAAGGGTGGTGAGAGAGAGCAACAAGAGGAGCCAACACAGGAAATACGGAAATGACGACACAGACCCAAGGCGTATTGTGGAGGGTGAAATGACCCACCCTGTCCTATTACCGTGGTCTTCGGCCGCCGCTCGAGGTCCACCATGTCCAGCTCTGGGAAGGCCATTCGCAGCTCCTCTACTGTCACCACATTCCGGAAGCCTAGTCTGGAGCAAAATCAGGAAAACAAAGCTACAGTTCTGGGAAGATGCTTTTATGGATACATGGGGTCACACGTGAGCAGAACCAGACCCAGGCCAGACCACGGCAGGCAGGCGGCTTTCCTAAATCCTACAGGCACCAGTGACAGGCTGCTGACTGCATAGGCAGAGCTATAGATTACACAGACACATGGAATACCAGTACAATCCCTTGGTACCCACTCGTGTCACCAGATCCTACACCAGCAAGACCCAGGGGGCAGCCCCCATGTACTCAAGGAGCTTGTGCCGTGTTCAGTGCTGTTCAAACGAGCACTCCATGAATAGTGCAGCCCGAAGTACGGGGTGGGGAGGAGAGTCCTCTGTAGCTGGGATCCGAGCAAAGTCCAGTAACTGGTGAACAGCTATTTCCTCTGCATTGAAACATTCCCTCCTGGAGGAGAGGTGGGACTTATGGAAGTTACCAGATCCACAATCCCTCCCTCCACATCTGCTCACACTCTCCTACCCTGGAAGGGAACAGCAGCCTTCTGGGGGAAGAGGCACTCCCATCAGCCAAGGTGCCTGCACGTGCAGCCCCAGGCTATTCTGGGGTGGGCCTTTTGCTGAAGGGGCTGCCTTTTACCCCACATAACTGACTGGTTAATGAAGCCAATTGGTTTGCTACTGGTGCCCTAGTTGGTTGAACAGATGTTTGTTCGCATCTGCAGGAAAAGTTGTAGAACAGCCACAATGGTTAGAGGGAACTACCACTCGCCAGGAGGGGGCTGCCGTGCAGGGACCGAGCTGACCCCAGCCTGCTCTCTTGTAAAATCTGCCTCATCTTCCTGTCCATATCCTGCAGTCTTAACTAGACACATGATTATTCTAACGGATCCTTCTCGCACCCCATCTTTTCAATTTTTAGAATGCATCTATGTAGCTGGGTGGGACATGTGGATGTCAAGAGGACAGCTTCAGACGTCCATTCTCTCCTTCCACTCTGTGGGATCTGCGGCTCCAACTCAGGCGGTTAAGCTGAGAGGCAAGTGTTTTCTACCTGCTCAGCCATCTCCCTGGCCCTACGCCATCTTTTCTGCCCTGTAGTACTTGGGATCCAAAGCAATGCCTCATGCATGATAGACAAATACTCTACAGCTGAGCTTCATCCCCAGTCCCTCATGCTGAAGTAGTTAATCTTTTTTTAATTAATTATTTGTGGGGATTAGGGACATCAGAACAACCGTGGGAGTCAGGTCTCTCCTTTCACCACGTGGGTCCTAACAATCATAGGCAGGAGGTCAGACCTGGTGGCAGTGCCCTTAGAGCTGAGCTAGCTTCCCACCCCTGTGATGACTATCATCTGGACTGGACCCACATTCACCTAAGAGATGAAACAGACAAAATTAACTGAGGAAAAAGACTCCCCAGAGCAGGGGTCACCTTCTGAAGGTGGCCCAGATACAAGAGGTCTGACTTAAGGTCTCCCAGGAACACTGGCTTTCAGTGCCAGATTAGGAGTGCTGAAGCATGGACTGAGCAGCTACAGGGTTCTTAGGCCCTCTAGCAGGAAACGGCCATTGCTCAACTACCCAGCCCCTACTGCGTTAGCCAAACAAATAAACCTCCATTTAAAATATATATTCGGTCTATGGGTTCTGTTCCTCTAGAGAACCCAGTGACACCTGCTATCGGCAACACCCCTTTGCTGTTTGTGGGTGTGTTCTTCCCTCCTCAAGTATGAATTTCCTGAGTAAGCCACATTCCCAATGCTCTTACCTGGGTCCCTGACCTGCCTTAGAGCACACAGCCCAGATGGTACCCAGGAAGCACCAGGGCACATGAACAACCTGCCTGAGGACAGGGACCACGTCCTTTGCTTTCTGAGTACACGTGACCAAAGGGCACTCTTCAGTAACAGGAGCTGACAAGGAAGGATGAGGCTGGAGCGAAGCTCTCACACTGAGGAGTTGTTCGCTTAGAGCAGCTGTTCTCAACCTTCGATCTGCGACCCTTTATTACAGTTCTTCATGTTGTGATGATCCCCAAGCATGAAATTATTTTTGTTGCTATTCCGTAACTATAATTTTGCTACTGCTATAAACTGTAATGTTATATCTGCTGTTATCTAATATGAGACCCCTGTGAAAGAGTCATTCAGCCCCAAAGGGGTCACAACCCACAGGTTGAGAATCACTGGCTTAGAGATTCCTGAGTTTCTACTCAAGACACAAACGATCAAGACTCTTCAGGGTTAAGCCGCAGTCCATTAGGCTCTGCAGATGGCTATGACTGGCAGCAGTAGTCTCAAGGACTGAGCACATGAAGGATCTCTCTCTCCCTGTTTCCCAAGAGCCCACCGCACTCTCTGGCACCCCAAGCCTGCACCTGCTCTCCACCCAGAACAGCAAATCAAAAAGGATACGCTCTGGCGTTTCCCATCAGGGGCCCCTGCCCCGACACGAGCATCCGCCTGTTGTGGTACTGCAAGAACCACCTCATGGGACCGTGAGAGAGAATGACTTGGTCTGGATCCACCTAGAGAAGCCAAAAGGAGAGCAGGGAGACACAGACTTGAGAGAAATAACAGGAAGACAGCCACTGGGTTCTGTCACAAGGGTGCGGGTGGGGTATAAAAACAGAGTTGTGAAAGCCTTTCCTACACCTGACACTTTGTAAGACTTAGCCACACAGGAACTAGAACTTACCCAGGGCTGGAACTGTAGCCCAGTGACAGAGTGCTAGCCTGGCATACAAGAACCTATGGGTTCAATACCTTAAGTGTGAGTGTGTGTATGTGTGCCTAATTTAATGTTCAACATACAAAACAAGAGAAGCATTATTGGATATAAGATCCTGCTGGGCTTAGCTCAGAGAGCCCATGAGACTTCTTAATCCTCAGCCTGGAAATCACAGGCTTTACAAGCATACTCTGCCATGATATCTGTCTTGGACCTTGGCACTGCATTTTCATTTCTACTTAAATCCTGAGCTGACCCTTACCTCTGTAGTGCTGGGCAAAGAACCAGGACCTTGAAAATGCAAAGCAAATGTCCTATCATTGGCTCATACTCCCAGCCCCAGATCTAGTTGGTGTGTTGTGTGCACATGTGTGCATATGTATGTGAGGAGATGGATATGTGGAAAACCAGATGTCAACACTGGCTATCTTTCTCAGTCATGCGTCATCTTACCTTTTAGTCCGTCACTCAGTCTGGAGCTCCTATGTTGCCAGACTGACAGACTAGACTGGCTGGCCAGAGGGCCTCAGGGATTCAAGTGTCTCCAATCCCCCACCCCTGGGATTTTAGATGTGCCACCCAGCCTGGCTTTTTAGACTGGTGCTAGAGACCAAACTCAAGCACTTTACCCACCGTGCCATCTCCCCAGATCTAGCTTTTTAAAGCTACATAACTCCAACAATGTAGTCTTTGCCCAGAATTATTCTTTTGAGATGGAGTCTCATTACACAGCTCAGGCTGACCCCAAACTTGTGGTTATCCTCTTCCCTTAGTCTCCAATGTGCCAGGATTGCAGAGGTGTGCGAGACCACACCAGGTTCCTCGGAATGCTTTCGGGCCCTTCAGAGAAAGGGCTTCATGGTACTGGCTGGATTTCTCTACCCTGGATCCAACTTCAGCCAACACCACCTAATCAGCCTGTACTGACTCTCTTGGGTACAAAGAGCCTCCTCTCATAGCTAAGGTCACCCTGTCTTGAATAGAGAGGAAATGCAAAGGATTGGAGGTGCTTGGCTTTTGGAGGACAGCACCCATGGAGCTGGACAGCTGCAGGCCATGCACATGAATGGGATTTTGTTATTTTCTTTGACACAAGGTCTCACTATGCAGCCCAAACCCTTCCGCCTTGGCCTCCCAGGTCCGTGCCATCAGCTTATCCTTTTTAGTATTATTATTAACGAGATCTGTCATTGCCTAGTCCCATCTGTGATGTGGAATGCTGAACACATGATCTTTGCTTGCAGGGGCCAAACTGAAGCCATGAAGACAATAAACTAAACTGCTGGCAGCTCAGCTGGTAGAGTGCCTGCCTTGCACTCATGGAGCCCTGGGTCTAATCCCTAGTGCATACGCCAGGTGTGGTGGTGCAGAGCTGAGATCCCAGAATTAGTGAACAGGAGGCCAGATGTCCTCCTGTTCACTGTGTCATTACCAACTACCACAGACACACGAATCCTTGTCTCAAAACAAACACTAAAATGTAAGGGCAGAATCCTGTCCCCTGGCCACGTCCCCTTAGGGTATCATGTAGCCCAGGCTGATTCTGAACAAGGGTCATGTCCAGTGTGCACCACGATAGCCAGGAGTACCATGCTGGGATCAATTTAGGGCTTCTACATGCTAGGCACAGATTCTATCAACTGAATGACCCCCCTCAGCCCCACCACAGGACTTCTGTGCTCACTCAACCATGGTGTGTATACATGTGTATAAAGACCCTATTGCAGGCAGGAGAGATGGCTCAGCAGCTAAGAACACTCACTGTCTGTTCTTCCAGAGGTCCTGGGTTCAATTCCCAGCAACCACATGGTGGTTCACAACGATCTATACTGGGATCTAATGCCCTCTTCTGGCCTGCAGGCATACATGCAGATAGGGTACTCATCTACATAAAATAAATAAATAAATCTTAAAAAAAAAAAAAAAAGGCCCTATTGATGTCATCACAGGTCTAGACTAGAACTTTAAAAAACTAGTCCCATACTCCCACTGGCTCAATCGTCCCATAATCTAAGGAAAGGGATGTAGAGCTGGAATGGAGGCTCCAACAGGAATCTGTCTTTGGGTTTCCATGCCTTGGCTGCCTCTTACCTCGCACCCCAACTGGGCTGACAGCTCCTGGGCTTTGCTTTGTGGTAAGACGTTCCCAGCATTTGTGACAAAAACCACAGGTACCCGAAGCTGGCCCTGGGAGTTTACCAGCTTACGGAATGCTTCCAGAGCAGCTGGGATCACTCGGTGGCCTCGAATTAGCACTCCATCAATGTCAAATAGGAAGCCAAAGGTGGGCGGGCTCTATACAAAGGAGAAGAAAAAGAGAATTGGCACTGCATGAATGAGGAGACAGAAGAAAAGAAGGAAAAGGAAACAACCTCCTGTAGAAAGGTTCATCCTCAGGTCACTGTTTGAGAATGGCATTAGAAAGAACAAAAGAAAGCCGTGCCTGCTTTCTCTTTCCTATTTGGCAGTGCTAGAGAGCAAAGCTTGCATATGATAGGTAAGGACTCTACCACTGAGCTACACCACGACTTGGGATTTCTGACCGGCCAAAGAAGTAAGCTTACCAAGTTTATCAAGCACAGAACCACCTCACTGAAATTAATTTCACACCAGGCACAGTGTGTGTGCCTGTATTCCCAGCACTCAGCAGGCAGAGGAAGGCATGTTCAGAGTTTAAGACCAGCTTGAGCGATATAGTGATTCTGAAGCCAGCACTAACTACACAGCAAACCTCATTCTTGGGTTTTTTTGTTTGTTGTTGTTTTGTATGCCTTTTCACAGGGCTTCTGGCTGTCTGGACTCTTTTTGTAGACCAGGCTGGCCTCCAACTCCCAGAAATCAGCCAGCCTCTGCCTCCTGAGTGCTGGGATTAAAGGTGCACACCACCACGGCCTAAGGCTCAATCTCGGAAAAATAAAATAAGCAATCTTAAAATTGGATTAAAAAAAATGATCCCAGCATTTTTTTTTTAAATAGTCTTTTCCCCTTTTTTAAGATTTATTTATTTACTTATTTATTTATTATACAATGTTCTGTCTGTACATAGACCTGCATGCCAGGAGAGGGCACCAGATCTTATAGATGGTTGTGAGCCACCATGTGGTTGCTGGGAATTGAACTCAGAACCTCAGCCTGTGCTCTTAACCTCTTAACCTCTGAGCCATCTCTCCAGCCCTGATCCCAGCATTTTAATGCAACCAATTTATATTTTCCCTTTGACTCCTTTTTAGTCCATACCTATGGCTATTAAAATATAATTCTGTATCTTGTTCTCTTTGGGTGATAAACAACTTAACCAGAAACACTCACTAGCAAGTTCAGGAAGTCCTGAACTACACGACTTTGCCTCAAAAGGAAAAAAGAAAAAAAAAAAAGATTTGTTCATTTTACTGTAACAACATACACAGTTTTAAACAAACGAAGGACTTCAATAGCTACCAAGAGCATTAAATATTTAAAAAGCTTCTCAAGCCTTCCAGCTGGTCTTGCTCACTTGTACGCTCTCGGCAAACATGGACACCTAGTGCATTTTAAATATCTCTTGCCTACATGCACACATATACAAACACAATCGTGCTATTCTTTATTTCCACCTTACTATCTTTGTTTGTTTTCTTTTCTTTTAAAATCTATTTATACAGTATTCTACCTGCATGTGTGCTTGCATGTATGCCTGTATGCCAGAAGAGGGCACCAGATCTCATTATTGATGGTTATGGCTGGGAGTTGAATTCAGGACCTTTGGAAGTATGGCCAGTTCCCGTAACCTCTGAGCCATCTCTCCAGGCCTGTTGTTTTGATTTTTCAAGACAGGGTTTCTCTGTGTAGCCCTGGCTGTCTAGAACTCACTCTGTAGACCAGGCTGGCCTCAGACTCCATAATGATCCTCCTGCCTCCTAAGTGCTGGGATAAGACATGCCCCACAATGCCCAGCAGCCCGTCTTACTTTTCTTGGTTGATATTTCTTTGGTGGCCTGCCAATTTGTAGACATAGTTCACTCCCTGAACATCATTTCTAGTTACCTAACATTCTGACTGAACAAACCAGTAACATTGTTTCATTTCTTTTAGAAAGTTTAAGCCTGCACTCTGGCCCAAGCCTGAAATCCCAGAACTTTGGGAAGCAGATGCAGAAGGGATCTCTGGTCTACAAATCAAGTGCCAGGACAGCCACGGCTACACAGAGAAACCCTGTCTCAAAAAAACAAACAATAAAAACAAAACAAAACAAACAAACAAACCACCAAAAAAAACAAGTTTAAATGAGGTCATTAGTCTTTCCTGGGGTAGAGGCAAGCATCTCTATGACTTCAAGGCCAGCCTCATCTACATAGCATGTTCCAGACCAGTCAGGGATACAACTGAGACCCTAACAAAACAAAAAAAAAAAAAAAAAAAAAAAAAAAAAAAGGTTAAGTTTGGGCCAGTGAAATGGCTCAGCAAAGGCACTTGCCACCAAACGTGATACAAAATATACTTTGTATAAGATAATTAACTCCCCCAGTTTGTCCTTTGACCTCCACATGTGTGGCACGGTATGTGCCCTCCAATAAAGACAGACAGACAGAAAAAAGAAAGAAACAAAGAAAGATGTGAAAAGTTTTCCACATTTTTGCTACAATGAGAATCTAACAGAGACAGTAGCACAAATCTATATTCTTAGCACTCAGGATGTGGAGGCAGAAGGATCAAGAGTTCAAGGCCTGCCACAGCTATATAAGACCTTGTCTCAAAAAAGGGGAGGGTGCACGCCTGTAGTCCCAGAACTTGGGAGGCAGAGACAGGCAGATGGCTGTGAGTTGGAGGCCAGCCTGGTCTACAAAGTGAGTCCAGGACAGCCAAGGCTACACAGAGAAACCCTGTCTGGAGAAAAAAATGGTGTGGGGGGGACAACACAAAAGACAAAAGCCATGAAAAACTGATCCCAAAACCATGCCCCCCCCCCCCAACTGCTATAAGGAACCTATTGATTCCCGGGTTTTGTTTTTATTTTGTGTCTTATAAGTTTTTATTGCTGTGACGAAAACACCATGACCAAAAGGTAAGCTGGGGAGGAAGGAAAGGGTTTATTTGGCTTACACTTCTGGATCATAGTCCACCACTGGAGGAAATCAGGACAGGAACTCATGAAGGGCTGGAATCTGGAAGCAGAAGCTGATGCAGAGGCCATGCTTACTGGCTTGCTTAGCCAGCTTTCTTTTCTTCTTCTTCTTTTCCTTTCATTTCATTTCTTTTTTTTTTTTTGAGACAGGGTTTCTCTGTGTAGCCTTGGCTGTCCTGGACTCACTTTGTAGACCAGGCTGGTCTTGAACTCACAGTGATCGTCCCCCCTCTGCCTCAATGAGTGCTGGGATTAAAGGTGTCTGCCACCACGCCCAGCTAACAATCTTTTTAAAAACCTCATTCCATTTTTAGTTTATAAACTGCCTGTTAATATAAAAGACATTTCTCAATTATCAAAACTAATGAACTAACCTAACCTGTCTGCCATTTATTTTATTGGTGCCAACTAGGTCAAGCCATTTGTAGAACACACATAGTCTATGCACAAAACTTTATCAGTGGTGAGCAATCCAAACCACAAGTAGGAACAGGCACAGTGTCACAGGTATTTATTCCTAGCTGGGGGAGGTTGGGGCCAGCCAGAGCTACACAGTGACACCTGTCTTAATAAACAAAAGAACCAACACAGAGGAACAGGGCTCCAGTCCCTCCCTACTTAGTTGACAGCACAGAATAAGCAGCTAGCTCAGAAAGCAAGCCACTGAAACAGCAGCAGTTTCACAAATAGAAATCAATTTAAAATTTTTAGGTGCTCAGGAAAACTAGACATAGAACCTTGGACCTTATGCATGCCTGGCAAGTGCCCCACCACTGAGCTATGTCACCAGCCCTCAACATTGTAAATCTGATAATTACACACACTGTAAGGATCAAACCACACAGACGGGGTTTCCTGGAGAATTCTGGGCTAGCCATAAAAGCATTAAATTTTCTCATTCACCTCCTAAACTAATCACATGGTGCATGCCTGCAGTCCCAGCACTTAAGAGCTTTCAAGACTTGGAGGACACTGAATTTAAGGCCAGCCTAGGTTACCTAATGAAACAAGTGTCTCAAAAACAGGCCAGCAGGTGGCTCGATGGAAAGAAAGGCGCTTGCCAAGGAAGCCTGACAAGCAGAGTTAAATCCAGACTCCACAAGGCTGAGGAAAACCTACTCCCAAAAGTTGTCCTCTGACCTTCACACACAAAATAGGACATGCACACATGGACACATCCATATAAAAAATGTGAATCAAATCGTTCCCAGAGCCCAATCAGTGGGGGAGGACACACACAATGGCGGACTACAGATGAAGAGAGGACACTTTAAAGCAGTCACAGAACAGGCTATGCTGAGCACTAACCCCAGAGCTGAGAACACGGGGAGTGAGAAAGGCTTGAACCAGTGTACCTCCCATAAGGGATGGAGACTCATCACAAGGCTCCTAGGCCATAAAGATTTTTTAAATTTATGTTTTTATCATGTGCACTGGTCTTTTGCCTGCATCCATGTCTGTGTGAGGGTGTCGTCGAACCCTCTGGAACTGGAATTACAGACAGGTGTGAGCTGCCATTTGGGTTCCAGGAATTGAACCTGGGTCCTTTAGAAGAACAACTATTAAGCTTGGTGCGGTGTCCCAAGCCTGTAATCCCAGCATTTGGGGAAGCAGAGGCAGGTGGCTCTCTGTGATTGTGAGGCCTGCTTGGCCTACAAAGCAAGTCCAGGACAGCTATGGCTACACAGAGAAACCCCGTCTTGAAAAACCAAAACAACAACAAAAAAAGAGCAGCCAGTGCTCTTAACTGCTAAGCCATCTCTCCTGCCCAGTCATAATTTGAAACAGGAAAATGGCATCATCAGGCCTGATTACAGGGGAATTTTAGCTACAGAGGAAAGAACAGATTGACCAGACTGAAGGGAATCCAGGTGAGGGAGAAAGGTGGGAGCTTCTGCAATCCAAGACAATGATGATGGTGATTTTTATCTAGGTTACTAGCAACAAGAATGGAGAAGAGTCAGGAAAATGGATAAAGTGATCATTCTGTCAATAAAATAAAAGACAAGCACCACATTTTTTTTCATCTATGAAAGTAAAAAGAAGGCAAATAGGGACCAGGTGTAGTGGCCCACACCTTTAATCCCAGCACTCAGGAGGCAGAGGCAGAAAAAAAAAACCACAGGAAGCAGGAAAACTATAGAAGAATTTCCATTGTAGTTATCCCATTACCTATATCCCCACTCCACTACTTATGTGTAAGAAAAATGTCACAATGAAGCAGTTTTTTCAAATGTTTATACAAAAATAAAATTAAAAAATGAAACATGGAGGAGAGAAAATAGGAAAGAAAATAGAGAGGGCCTGGAAACCATGTAGTTGCAAGGGCAGAGGGAAAAGCAACAGGAATCACCAGGAATGTTGCTTTAGGGGTGGAGATCATGAAAGAAAGACTGGAGATGATCAGTGAACCAAAGAGGAACAGGAGGGCAGGCAGGGACAGATGCATCCTGACTGGGACCGGTGGGGGCAGGTGTGAGGTCAGGACTACAGATGAAAGTCTAGAATGTCTCTGTCCGGCTGGCGACATGCTCAGTGGTTAGGCACACTTGCTGCTCTTACAGAGGACCCAGTCTGGTTCCCAGCATGCACATCAGGCAACTCCCAGGGGTCCACAACTGCAGCTCCGGGGGACTCGATGCCTCTGGCCTCCAAAGGCACCTGCACTCAGGTGCACATACACACGTGCAGACATATCCATGTGCAGACACACCTACACACTTATTTTTTTTTTTTCTGTGTAGCCTTGGCTGTCCTAGAACTAGCTCTGTAGACCAGACTGGTCTTGAACTCACAGCAATCTCCCCTGCCTGCGCCTCTTAAGTGCTGGGATGAAAGGTGTCCGCTACCATTTCCTGACAAAAACTTTATTGAAAGTCTCTGTTCTCAGGGAAGTAGGAAGAACACCATCATTTAAGGATGGGACACATTAAAGCCAGTCATAAACACAAGAGAAACAGCAGTCAAGGAAAGACAGGAAACCAGGAGTAGGTCAAGAAGTGAAGTTACGACTTTCTGTATCAAGTAAAATAGGAAAGAAAAAAGGAAAAAATAGCTATAGCCAGGCCTGGTCGCGCATGCCTTTGATCACAGCACTCAGCAGGCAGGGGCAGGTGGATCTCTGTAAATTCCAGGCTAGCCTGCAGCCTGGTCTGTTACACAGAGAAAAAAAAAAAAAGAGAAAAAGAGAAAAAGAAAAGAAAAAATGGCTACTGATGAATATGACCAAACATTTGCCTAACTTTTATGAGGCCTGGGTTCTTTTGGCTCCTTCCCCTGAGCAAAGAACCAACTTCTGAGAGAAGGATGAGCCAAATGCTTCCCTACCTGATTGACGAGTGCTGGGTCCAGAATTCCATTTCAAACTGAGCTAGCAGCAAAACCGGGGCCTTTTTCCCTGCTCCCTGAGCAGTTCCTGGAAGCAAGCAAGGTTCTAGGAGACACTGAGATCTCTGGCCTCGCTGCTCACCTCACCTAACTTCCAGCTGGTTCACTTCTCCCCTCCTGGTAATCAAGAGTACTTCCTTCACACCCAGTGGCTCTCAGGATTGCCAAAGCCCTTCCCTACTGCTCAGCAAATTCCTAACAGGGTCCTAAACTACAAGGTTCATGGGTAGATTTCAGAGTAACCATAGAAACCCTTAAATCTTTTTTTTTCTCCAGACTTCTGATTTCATCATCTGACTCTTCTCAGAGAGAATCAGCACACAGGTCTGAACAGATGAGAGGTTATGATTTCACCACACACTTGCCATAACAAGGGGGCCGCTGAGTGACCCAAAGGATGGTTGGAAAGACCTTTCCCTTGAGATGCTTCCCAAAAGGTAAACCTTAGCAGCTCAATTTCATTGCTGTCCCATTGTGAACGCAGGCAACACTGTTCGGGATGCAAGTTTAAGCTTAAAACCCATTTGCTTGAAACCAGGCCTGGTGGCACATACCTAAAATCATCAAGGATTTGACGACAGCCTGGTCTACCCGGTGAGTTGCAGGTCAGTCAGGGAACATAAACACAACAAATCCATTCCCACAAACACACAATAAATCCATTCACTTATACTTTCAAAATAAGTTGAGGGAAATGTCTTAGTTCCGATAACAGCATGGTGGTTGAGTTTAAAACGCCCTTTCCAAAGGTCCACGAAGAGTTCAGGGTTGAAACGATAAGAACTCCGAGATTTAAAGTCTTACAGCCACAAAGGGGAGAGATAAGCAAGTGTGCCAAAATACAGTGACTGCTTATTTGGGAGATAAAAGTATGGAATTCACATTCTCTCTGAATTTTTGGAAACTCACAGTTTGCGAAACACATTTAAAAAAAATAAATAAATAAAGCCCAGCGGGATGGCAAAGCTGTGAAAAGAGTTTGCTGTGCAAGTGTGATGTTCCAACCGCGGAACTGGAAAGCGAGAACGGGAAAGTTTTTCTCTAATCTTCTCACTCTCTCACACACAGTAATGATGATGATAATACTAACGAGAATAAAATTAACAGCTCCTTTGCCTTGATGGCTGCACTCCTGAGCCACACAGAGTTTGCCACTCACACTCAAAACAGCTACCTTTTCAGAAATCAGAGTCCGCGGGACCTTACTTTACCCGAAGTGGAAACGAATTAGCTGCCGAGAACCTCTGCTGACGCGCGGAAAGTCGCTGCGAGCCCACCCGAGGTTGCCCTGGGGTTGCAACGGGTCGTTCCCCGGGGACACGGACTTCCCAGCGGGCGGAAGGCGCTCGGCGGGACACCGCCTCGGGAAGGAAGAAGGGTTCCGCGGCTCCACGGTCTCCGAACCGCGGCCGGGATGTTCGGTCGCCGGCACAGCCCTCCCCACGCCGGCCCTGCGCGCAGCGCCGAAGCCGCGCGTCCTCACCTCAGCGCGGCCCACGATGTAGCCCCTCCGGGGCCAGCAGCCGTGGAACCCCGCAGCCAGGCGCGCAGGCAGGGTCCACGGACGGCGACGGGCACCGAGCACCAACAGCCCGCCGCGCGCAGCCATCGCGCCCGCCGCGCGCACGCGCACACTGCGCGGCTCCGGGGCTCCGGGGCTCCGCGCCCCCTCCCCGCGCCTTAACGAGCGACCAATCAGCGGCCGCCGGCCGCGGGGCCTCACGGGAGTGGTAGTCCGGACCCGGGGCGTCGGGCTCCGGTTTGGAGTGCGGAGCCGGGAACGCGCGGGCGGCGTTCGCGTCTCCCGCGCTGTCTCCGGAGCTGAATGGAGAGCCTCTGGGTTCCTCGCTTCCCCCGTGGAAGACCTGGAGTCAGCTGGTCGGCGCGCGCGGCCACCCGGGAGGACAGGCGCCGGACCAGTCTGTGCACCTGCCGACTTCCGGGAGCGTGTGCTTCGGCGGGAGCTGGGGGGACTTCAGCTTAATCTTGAATTCCAGCTCGGGGAAGAAGACCTTTGTTTTGAGGTCCACGTCGTCCGAGCCTTATCCGAAGAATGCTGTGGTGTGCTGACACTCTTTAAAATCTTTTACTCAGTCAGTCCTGAAACCCGGGAAGGCCACGAATGAATGAGCAACTTGAGCCACACTCTGTAGGGAGGTTGGGGCTGGTATACAAAACGAGGTAAAGAAGTCACTGCCCCGAGAGATCAGATAACGAATTTGGCAAACGTCATGAGCACAGCTGAGAGCACTCAGCGGAGAAAAGGGGCTTCGGTCAGGGAGCGAGAAGGGTACAACTGAGTCTGACCAGCCTTGCTCCTGAGGTGGGAGCCTGCAGGAGGAAGAAATTTCTCTTCCAATGGCCTGAAATGTGTAGGATGCTCCCTTCCTTAGGCTTTGACCTGCTCCTGGATATAATCATACAAAAGAGAGAGAGAGAATGTGGCACTACAGGAGAAGGGGGGAGAAGGTCAAAATGGAAAAGGGCTCCGCTAACTCCGTTTGTGTGCGTTGCTTCTCAGCTTTGAAGGTCAAGATCGTAAGTCAGAGTAGCCACCGTCGCTGAGAACGTGGGAGATGGATTGTGCTTAATCAGACTCACTATGGCACAGGATACATAAACCCAGCAGATACAGTTGTCCAGATTTCAGATTTTTTTAAAAAGATTTATTATGTACACAACGTTCGGCCCACATATACCTGCACGCCAGAAGAGGGCAGCAGATCTCACTGTAGATAGTTGTGAGGCACCATGTGGTTGCTGGGATTTGAACTCAGGACTTTTGGAAGAGCAGCCAGTGCTCTTAACTTCTGAGCCATCTCTCCAGCCCCAGATTTATTATTTTTTTAATCTCTTTTTCAGCTACTCAACTACTTAGAAACTAATTTAGGTAGAGGTGTGGTAGTGGCTCATACCTATAATCCTGGTGCTTGAGAGGCAGAAAGGAAGATCATTCAAGACCTTATCTCAAATAATAATAATTATTATTATTTTATTATCTCAATAAATTGAGATAATAATAATTTTATTATCTCAAATAATAAAAATAATAATAATAAAATCATACGAAGAAATTGATTTAGCAATTAGGAGGTTTTAGGATGTGTCCATACTTGTTCTAGTGACAGCCTTCCCTGTAACACACTTTTTTTTTGGGGGGGGAGGGGTTCAAGACAGGGTTTCTCTATGTAGCCCTGGTTGTCCTGGAACTCATTCTTTAGACTATGCCTGCCTCTGCCTCCTAAGTGCTGGGATTACCGGCATGCGCCACAACTCCTGGCTTTTCCTTTTAGAAAGAGTTTTCACCATGCAATTATGGCCAGTCTGGAACTCACTATGTAAAGAAGGTTAGCTTGGAATTCACAGAAACCCACCTGCCTCTGCCTGTCAAGAAGTGAGGTAACCCTGTAAGGCCAGCATCTCCAAATTTTAGGTTGTGTCAAGGTATCAGTTAAAACTACATCAGACCTTTGGAGTGGTAGTGGTGGTGCAGGCCTTTAATCCCAACACTCAGGGAGTCAGAGGCAGGCAGATCTCTGTGAGTTAGAGGCCAGCATGATCTACATATTTCCAGGACAGCCAGGGCTACACAGAGAAACCCTGTCTCGACAAACAACAAAAGAATATCATGTGCTGCATTTGAATGCCTTATAAACTCAAACGAAAAGATCTTTTTAAACAAAGAGAGTTTAGGGACTGGAGAGATGGCTCAGCTGTTAAAAGCAGTGACTGCTCTTTCAGAGGACCTGTTTCAATTCCCAGCACCTGTATGGCAGCTCACACTTTGTAACTGCATTTCCAGGGCTTCTGACACCCTCACACAGACACACATGCAGACAAAACAGCAATGAACATAATTTTTTTAAAAAGTAAAGACAGTTTCTAAGTGCCTCTAGAATAAGGCTTTAATTTTAATGAATAGAGCTGGGCTCAGTGGCACATGCCTGTGATCCCAGCACTCTGAGAGGCAGAGGCAGGGCCATCACTTTTTTTGTTTGTTGGTTGGTGATAAACATTCTGGCTGTAATGAGATGTATTCTCACAGAAGTTTCATTTGAGGTTATTTTTTCTTTGTCAATCCCTGATAGTCAAAGATGTTGAACACTTAAAAAAATATATATTTATTAACACTTTGTGTTTCATCTCTTGAGAATTCTCCGTTGAACCCCTTCAGCCTAGTCTTCATTGGATTGCTTTCTTGTCAAGTTTTTCTGAGAGCCAGGTTTAGGGACACATGCCTTTAATCCCAGCAGAGGCAGGGATCTCTGAGTTCCAAGTCAGCCAGGGCTACACAGGAAAACCCAGTCTCCAAAACAAAAACAAACAAAAAGGTTTTTTAAAAAAAAAGCTTTGCATATTCTAGAAACTTAATTTTTATTAGATTTATTTATTTTCATGTGTGTGTGTTTTTTGCCAACATGTATGCCATCTGTACCTCCTGCATGCCTGTTGTCAGAAGAGGGCATCAGAACCCCTGGAACGGGGGTTACAGACAGTTAGTTGTGAGCCACCACGTGGGTGCTGGGAACCAAGCCCAGGTCCTCAGCAAGAGCAGTCAGTCCTCTTAACCTCAGAGCCTCTCCCCAGCCTCTGTATGCTAGATATCAACCTTCTATCAGATCTGCAGCTGACAAAGGTTTTTCTCCCATTTTACACTCTGTCTCTTTACTTCATTAACCATTTCTTTTGCTGTAGAGATATTTTTAATTTCTTGAGGTTTCATTTGTTAACAATTGGCCTTATTTCCTTACTGGTTTTCTATTTAAAAACTGCTCTCTATGCTTATATATCAGGAAATGGTACTTCCTGCTCCTCTCTCTTGCATTTTTACAGTTTCAGGGGGAGGGGGAGAGTGACTGCATCACTGCATGTTTGGAGGCCAGAGGATAACATGGCTACCACGTGAGTTCTGGGGATCCAACTCAGGCTTAGTGGCAAGGACCTTTACCTGCTGGGCCTTCTAACCAGGTCTTATACGATGCTCCTTGATCCATCCGGAGGTGATTTCTGTGCAAGACGCCTGCTAAGAATCTCATTTCATTCCTCCACATGGGGATATCATCTGTGATAGAAGAGTGTCAAATCTACAAGAAATATCTTTTGCATTTTTTATCACCAGTCAGGTAGCCATCACCATACAGGTTTCTGTTGGATTTTCTCTTCTGCTCCATTGATCTGTACGTCTGTGTTTGTGTCACCACTATGCTGTTTTTCTTACTATGCCTCTGTTGTTTAACTTGGAATCAGATGTGGTGATTCCAAGCATTAGTCCATATACCTCCAGCATTATTGTGTTCGGACTTCTTTCTGCTGACTGAGGTTTCTGTACTCCCAAGTAAACTTGGCGATTGTTTTCTTTATGTATGTAAGGAATTGTGTTGATGTTCTGATTGGGATTGCATTGAATCTGTAGATGGTTCTTATAAGATGGCCATTTTCTCACTATTGATTCTTCTGGTTCAGGAGTTTGGCAGGTTTATTCATCTTTCTTCTTCAGTTTCTCTCTCTCTTTAGTTTTTATTTTACATCTACTGGTGTTATGCCTGAATGTCTGTCTGTGTGAGGGTGTCAGATGCCCTGGAACTGGAATTACAGACAGCCATATGTGTACTGGGAATTGAACACAGATCCTATGAAAAAAAAAAAACAGTCAGTTCTTAACCTAACCGATGAGCCATCTCTCTAACCTCCTCAATTTCTCCCTTGATTGTTTCAAAGTTTCCATCATGGAGGACATTCAGTTCCACAATACTAACTTTCTTTTAGGCAATAAGTTTTACATTTATTTGCTTATTTATTTGTATTTATTGGTAGTAGCAAGAGCAATCTTTCCCATCCTTGAGGCAATTTTAAGTGGGATTGATTCCCTGGCTTCTTCCTCACCACATTTGCTGTTGATGTACAAGAAAGGCGACGGACCTGTTTACGTTAATTGTATGCCCTGCTACTTTTCTGATAGCGTTTATCAGCAGTTCTCGGAGAGTTGTGGACTTTTAAGGTCTCCCGTATAGAATCCTATCATCTAAGAATAAGGATAAAGTGACATACTCCTTGATTGACAGCGGTCGTGTGGCCCTGCTCTCAACCACGCGGGGGCAGCAGCAGCCCGCCTCCCACCAGCCACAGGTGACCTGAGCCGGCTGTCTCCGCCAGGGTCCCTCCTGCGGTGCTCAGATCTCACTAGTCGCCATTTGCTGTCCACATGCTGCCGGCTCGGGCCATTTCCGAAGAGGGCCACAGCTGTTTGCAAGCCGGGGTCGGTGGGAGGGGCCGGGCTGACTGAGGTTTCTGGGGCTGCACTCTACAGGGGACCCTGGACAAAGGAAGACTCTCAGGCTGAGGGGATGAGCTTCAAGGGCCTTTCCCTCCCTAGTGAGGGAGAGAACAGGAAATGGAGGATGCTTCCGGGCTTGGACATGGTCAAAGGAGAGCCAGAGGTCAGAATAGGGGTCAGCTGTCCCTGGAGAAAAATAGCTGCTCCTTTAGGACTGAGGCATTTTGGCTTCATGAGCAAGGGGAGGTGTATGTGGCCTTGCCCTAGGGCAGGTTAGGGCTCAGGCAGGGTGAGTTAGAGAGTAATCCTTCCTACTTCCACCCACCCACCCCCACTCCAGTTTACGGAGA